CGGAGTGCGATCCCCGCGCTATTCGTCTCGCTTAGCGCCTGCTCGCGGAATCACGTCGATCCTGCATTATGCTCTGAGAAGCAACCTGGCAAATGAAGATTCTCTCTGTGCGCTGGCAGAGGTACACAATACTTAATCCTGAAAAAAATATACTAATTGCCATGCGATCATGTGCTTCCATGGGGCCGTATGCACATAATTCGTAGTGCTTACAGGAATTATAAATACAATTAACAAAGATTAATGATATTGTCGAGTTCAATTAATCATTATATTAACTTCATCCATTTTTTCGATATCAGATATCTATATGAAGAAATTCTTACTGTAGGTATTATTCATTCGTTCATACGATGTCAAGTCTAATATTTTCAAAAATTCAGACAAAAATATTGTAAATCAATTATTATCAATGAGTGAACAACTGAAATTTGTAAACAAAAAAAAAATTTCACCTCCAAACAATAAAAAGAGTTCTACATTCACGTCACGTCATGTTTTAAAAGAGGATGTATACAGTATTGAGAAGTCCAAATAGTTCCCACATTCAAATAGAACATTAACGCAAATTCCTAAAAAAATATAAACAAACGTAAGAAATGTTTTCACTTCCAGAGTATTAAAGCAATGCAGTCAACAAATAAGACAATACGTAACAATTCATGAAAGATGGTTACTAAACATTACCACAAAACTCTATTAAAATACTGATTTAGTGTTCACTAGTACAAATTTGTCCATCATAATTGTAATCAAGCAAACGGTTAGCAAAAATTCAATGGATATGTTTAAAAAATCGTGCAAATGCATGTGAAACACATTCAAATTATTAATCAGAAAATAAGGTAGGGGGCTTGATTTTAGACCGCTTTCGAATTGCAATTATGAAACAACGGCATTATCACAAAAGAGAAACAGACGTACATTTCGCTCAATCGGTGCAACGCACAGTTGGTTCCCAGGATCTAAATCGCCAGCGACTTGTTTTCCTTAACCCGAAATATAGCACCATCCAATTTCGCCAAAATTAACAAACTCCGATTTAGAGGGGCCGAGCGCGCGAGAGAGCGCACGCACGCACAACATCCAAGCATTTTCTATTTGTGCCAGTTTTCTTTAGAAACTGTCTGTATAAATAGCCACCACAAAAAAACGCCGTGGGAGGGAGCGGCGCCAGCGGCGAGAAATCGTATTAATACTGATATTTTCCCGCGCAGACGTCCTGAACTACCAGGTATCGCCCACTGTCCTCGTCCGGAATTTGGCACACGCGCATCTCGGGTGAAGGCGAATGAACAGAGACAGTTTCAGCAGTTCGCGAGGACGTCTTTGAGCATATCTCTCACGCAGTGAAATAATCGCCACGAAATTCGTTTCGAGCGTTAACAAAAAAAAATCTCGATGCGATGTTTTTTCCCCGTTTGTTTTGTTTGTGACATCGATTTCTTTGCTGTTTACATTGACGAATGATAAACAAGAGAACTAAAAAGTTCCAAAAATATATTCATTTTTCATTCAAATGCATTGGACTCTTTTATTTCCAACTTTGTGGGAAATACGAATAATTCGAATGAACGAAATTTGAAATTAATGATAAAATATGTTTTATGAAAATTCTGCTTCATTCTACCAAATATTGAACCCGCATTTTGTGACGATGTTGCTGGCATTCCATATTCTTGTTCCCTATTATCCTTCGCATTATTATTATTATTATTATTATTATTATTATTATTATTATTATTATTATTATTATTATTTGGTCGCGAACTGGCCATTTCCGGACTACGTGAACGTGCTCAGTTATACATAAAGGTTGGATGCATCTGACTTTATGAGCGGATTAGCATTTACATACTTAATCCACTTTTACAGCCAGGGTTGTTAGCCTTGGAGAATGAGATGAAATAATATTAATAATACTGCTTTCAAATTACCAATATATATTGGTAATTTGTATATTGGTAATTGGTATATATCGTATTTCCACGGTTTCGGGTCCTCAGAAAAAGATTCGGATGATTTATGATAACTTTTTCCTTTGTATAAAAATGACTTTTTATTCTCTCTTATTCTATATATATCTTCTCCGTTATGTTGGAACTCTTTGTTTAATGTATATGAGACACTATTACACTAAAAGCAAAGTTCATTTCCTTTGCAATCACCTGAAACTTCGTGTCAAAATATCTGATATAATTTAACCTCGAACTAACTATAAACTCAGGCTTTCATTGTCGAATAAATCTGATTTCATTGCAATGGCAACTAGGTGACACAACAGCGCATACTTTTCACGTAATATTTTTAACAGTTAAAATTATATTAACGTACTATGGAGAGCATGGCATTCTGATTAAGTAATATAATCCTAAGTAAACTTGCGAAAGGGTTTCGAAACGTAGAAATACTTGCGGGGGATGATATTTCAATTTGAGCACATAAATTTCACGATCGATGTCCCTCCTACCAGCGTTGGCCAGCTGTATCAACCCTCCCGAGACAACGAAAAGTGAACTTTTATAATTTTCGAAATTCCAGAGGCTTTAATGGAAATTGAACATGTGCCAAGTTATTAACCAATGGTAAGTAGTTAGCGAACTTTGCCCTAGCTGATCATACAAATTAAAGAAACAAATGAAGTAGTTTTCGAGAACATTGTTTAAAACAACGTTTTTTATCATTGTCACTAAAAATTACAGGAAAACAAGTACAAGACAATATATAAAGATCTAATATTGAAGGACATATCAATAACAAAAAGTTAACTATCATCCATTATTTAGATGGAGTAAAATATTTTTTTTTACTTAGGGAATTATCGAAAATTCAGAGATTTCAATTAGAATCGGATCTGCCCCATTTATTTAAGCGTATATTCCTCTACTCGAGAAAAGAAGTGAAAAAAGTCAAATGTTAAAGCTTCATTTAAAATACCCTCAAAACTTCTTTACAAAAGCTTCCATTAAAGCATCCTTTACAGCTTCATTTAAAATACCCTCAAAACAAAGTATCCGTTCTACATTCAGAGTGCCGCGACGTCAACCGGATGAATATGGGAATATTCATTGTGGTGAAAATCCTTTGTGCGGTTTAGGCACTAGTGTTCAGAAACGGACAGAAGAACGGACGGCCAAAGCGGCGCGAGGCGTACTTGCAAGCAAACGTACGTTTTGAAAAAACACTTTTTCGACGTCGAGCCACCACTCAACCCATGTATATTGTGATGATTATCCCAATGTGTAGGCAAAAGAACGAAACATTCGGATAAAATATATAAACAGCGACAACAACAATGGTGGACAGAGGAGAAGCAATTGATCGAGTAATAACTACTGAAAATACAAGGAAATGACAACATAATTAATACAGAGGAAAATACGGAATTTAGTGGTAAATAAAACAGTGAATGTACACGTGGGCAATTCCCGTGAGTGAAGTAAATTACGAAAGAACTTAGGAATCGATAAGCAAAGAATAATTAAAGAGCTAGAATGACGTTGGGCTATCAAAAATTAGAATATGTGCGAAAACGCGCACTGCCACGAAGGAGAAACGCATTTGGGATCGATCCCGCGCAAGTAAGAAGACAGAAGAAGAGTGCGTAAGACAAACGGGGCAGACGATATTCCGACGCTGTGAGGTGCGGAGGAAGATGTTATGAATGGTAGTGGTGTTCGGTAGTGGTAGTGGTAGCAGTAGTGTAATGTAAATTAATAATTGGTAGGAAAAATTATTGAACTATAATTGGGTGTGTGAGAAAAGATTATGCCTCGGTCTTGACGAGATTTCAACTAAAATGGAACTTTGAGTGGAGGCAGAACGACGATCAAGAGGACAGAGGAACGTTACTAAAAAGGGGACAGTTAAATTCTATAAATGTATGAGGATCAAGTTTCAGAGTAAAATACTGATTTCTAACTTAAGATTTAAAGAAGGGTAATGGCCATGCATGCAAGGGGAGCGATTCAGGAAAAGAACAGTAAATAACAATAATAAAAACTTTATTGCAGCGTTCTTTGAGTTGTACTTATAAAATGCTATGTACGTGATATTTGAATTCACAGCAGAACACAGATTACAATGTTTAACTTGAAGTAAGTATTGTTATTCCTTGACAGTAGTAAAAGAAAATTCCATATCTCAATTGAGAAGGGAATAAAAATAGCGTACGAAAATTTTCCTAACCGAGCCTCTATAAAGACGGTCTATCTGAGTCACAAATAAATTTATCATGACGGGATAGCCTCGGTACATCCTTCGGGCTACTGGCGGGTGAAATGCATACAGAAATATTGTATAAAAATTGAATAGAATAATCAAATAAAAAGGTACCAGGAAAATGCCCCGTAAGAATATTTTGATTACTCTATGTACACGACAAATCAATATACTATATGTTTATGAGTGAAACACACCAAAATACAATAGATAAAGTATCGGGGAACCATAACACGTGACTTTTTGTCAAAATATAAGGCACTTTCCCTGTCGCATTATATAACTTTTAATACGAAGTATGCAAGACAGTAGAGTGAAATATTATTCTGGAATGAAACCCACGCAACTGTCATCAAAGGAGATTTCGAGTTGCTCGGGTCCCCGAAATCATCTACTCACCTTGCCCGTTGGCGCAGCCACTTAGGAAGTCGTGGACAACATCGCAAAACCTGAAACAAGCAGAATATGACGTTAGATTATTGATGTCGACCAACACTTTCTATTAATATTGAGCAGAGCAATGTGATTATTATCAGTCACTTGCAATTTTTGAAAACACACATTTTAGTATGCTATATTAATGCTAGCGATTCAGTAATCGAACTGTAGTAATGGACATTTCACATAATGTGGTGTGGTGTTTTCATATAATGTGGTCATTTAATGAAGTAATCTGTTTTAAACATCTTAACACATTTCTTTTTGGTAACATATTGGCCCCCTAATATCAGTTTAATTTGATTTATTTCGACAAAGAACAATAAAAACTGTACGCGACGTATGGGGGGAGAAGTACGAAATCCACACGCCTTCTTCGGCTCTAGGATATTTCTCTGCTTTTAACTGTAGACAGCTGAATGATGAATAAAACTTCTAATCAAGTTAGACTGGCAACACTTAAAAAAACAGATCGTTACAGAAAACTTATTTGCATCGCTAACGGCCTGTTTTTACTAATACATTGTTTAAGTCACTGGTGATAAGCGATAATGAAGTTCATTTAACATCTCCCTTTGTAAATTTCAATATTAATTAATTGCCTACATTCATAGCTACTTTTCATTCCGTATAAGACTTTGTTCCTGTCATTTTTATATTTTTTGTTGCTATTCTAGGAATATCGGGAAAGTTAATTTTAAAAGTATGTCATATTATTGACCAATTACACATTCTAACACTATCCCGTCACTGAACGAATGGACCACAATATGTATGCCATTCGCAAAGCTTGAAATTTTGTCAGTACATCCAGCAGAAATTAATTATCCACATGTACACGAATTCAATTTTTTGTTTCTATTATATCTCACACTCGTACACACGCACGCACACACACATAAATTATTATAATAAAAATATTCAATATTCGCGTGCACGAATTGTAAATTATTTTAAGAATTCAAATGAACATTACGTAGACACAGCTCGTAATTAATCTTGTACATACATTATACGCCATCCAAGAATGCTGAGAATGGAAATCAAAATCAATAACTAATTTACAGTAGTTATAATTACACAATAGTACTGATTCAGGATCCGCGCACTTCTTGCAGCTTAACATTGTTTTCTGAGACCTCTTGAAGTGTACCTAATCTACACAGATTAATTTATTTAGTTTAAAAAAATAAGACAGAAAACCAGTAAAACTGTATGTGACGTATGGGGGAGGGAAGAAGATCTGCCATCATTTTAACTAACATTTTTATTTTAACTATAAATAGTTAAGAGATTTTTAAGAAAACAAACCCGAATGCACTGAACGCAAATTCGGCTCGTGATAAAGTATTGGGGATAACATTACCAAAGGAATGGTAAGTTAAATCGTTAAATTTTCTTTTGACAATTGAAAATGCACACCGTACACTTGAAATGTAGATAAAAAACATAAAACTGTATGACCCGTTCCCCAAAACTAAGCGACAGAGAAATCACGTACATTCTCTGAAACGGTGGCGTCTCATCCTTAAAGATTAGAACGAAGCATGAAGTGCAGTGAGGGTACTGGAAGTTGTGTTCGGGCAGTTTGTTGATATTAGGATTTCGTTCGGCAGCGACCACTCCTATTAAGTTAAAAATATCAATCCTCTTATCTGATATCATAAATTACTGTTTTGTTGCTGCAAATATGTTCAAGATATTTTTGTTTTCGTGAGCGCATTTGTATCTCCGATTATATCAACATAAAACCTATCTTAGACTAGGGTTAAAATCCCGTTGTTTGCAAGTCGGTCGTACACTACATGCCCTAGTTTGCCCTCGTCGTAGAAATGTTCTCCAGAGACAAAATGTAAGCAATGCACTGAACAACTGCTTTTCACCGATGTCTGACTGCTTTATGCTCCATTTCAATTTGTCCCTGCATCTGTGATGCGTGTAATCTCACAAAAAAAGAAAATATTGTTAATCAAGTTCTTGGTTCTTTTTGAAGAATCGTGAACTGACAAAATCAGTAATGTAATAGCTATGTCTTTCAGAAACCACTGACTCGTAATTTTACATTATTGGATTTACATTCTTGCAAAAATAAGTTAATGAAAAAAATAACACAAATCGTTGATCCACAATTACACATAACTAATTTGTTCGTACGTGATGTATTGCAAACAAATTAATTTCAGTTCCCGACTCATCGATAAAACATTTTCTACCTATTTCTTCGGGTAAATTAGTCAGAAGAGTCGCAAATGCGCACCATAATATTTGGATGGTTCTGATGCAGTCTAATATATTTTGTATAGGCGCTACACACTAATACATAATGAGTTTCCTACCAAGGGCGTATGTCACATGAGCAACTTTGTTCTACGGTATTGGCAAAACTGATCTATAATAAAATCCGAGGTGTAACAAAAAAGGTATGATAAATAAAGGGACACCATGAAAATTTAACTAACCACAAAATATACTGGTTTACGTACTTCCATATTTCATTTAATATCATTCACATTCACATGCACAACTGTCAATCGGCACAGAATAAAACGACAATGTACGTTTACCCCATGTTTGATACACACGCTACACCGACTACTTAATGGTCACTCAGTTATCACATTTACTGTCTGACACAATGAAACATGTAAGTTTTGACCATAAATGAATTCCAAAGCGTTCTTGCAACGTTTGTTGCACATTTAATAAAACATATTAATTATATTAATTATCTATTACTTAGGAATAAATATCTGTTAAACTCGAAAACTGTTGTAAATATTAGCAAGACCTACTAAATTTAATATGTATTAAATATCTTGAACAAGCGTACGTTATAGTTGACAATTTGATTCTTGGACATTCGTTTCCCAAACTCAGCAAACAAAATTTCGATTCATTGGATGTTATAAGTTACAATAAATAACATCAGCGCCAGTATAATGCAATAAACACAAAATATAAAAAAAAAATCATGAATGACCGAAAATACTATTGTTATCCCTTTGAGCTCGATTAAGCGGAAATTGCCTTCAAAGGACTTCGCGCCAGGACACCGACATCTTGCCACATGTTCTCTCCACTGATGACGGTTACGGTGCCTCCTCCCTCTCGCCCCTTCCAACTTCTCACAGGAAAACAGCGATGCCTGCCTGCTGAGTCACGGCGCTCGCGAATGCGCGACCGGGCGGACGGGAGGCGGGGCGTGTTGGAAGCGGGGGCGAAGAGGACGCGGCTAATACGCGCGCGCGGCCCGAGCTGACGGGCGCGAGCGCGGACACGCACGGACCAGGTGGTTGCGACGCAGGGATCCCCTTCTCGGTAGAGGAGCGGAGGCGAAAAGGCGTGGACAGCCGAGATAGAAATGGACGGAAGCTAGCTGCACGCGCGCCATGTCGGAAAGCGACGGTCTAGAAGCGCTTCGGTAAAGGAATCTGTTGCTATTGGGTTTGAAATGTATTAAGGTACAAGATTCAATGGGCATATAATGTAAACACAGTATTTGGTCCCACGTGACAGAAACACATTGAGTATCCCCCAACTATATACGTAAACAATAAGCGAACCTATTTTTAAGCAAACTACAGAATTGCTCACGATAAATACTTGCGGATAATTATGTTGGTGTTCCTTTACTTAAGGGGAAACTGAAGCATTCTAAGATCAAATATTCTTATTTTCGCATTATCACATTCCTCATTTTATGTGTAAATTTGTCATCCTGATCCGTGTGTAATCCAATATTTTATAGCGTCAAATGAAGCTCTGCTTCTTGGATTCAACAATATTTTGAATTATATAGTTTATAATTGTTTTCATGGAACTCTTGAAATAATGTTTCAACTAAGTTTCCTGCACTGCAAGAATATCAATTGTTTCCTATAAAGCAGTTTGATATAACTCGCACATCCTTATCGTAATCACATACGAGGGACGAGGGTTGCCTTTTATATTTCAGGATTAGAGAACAAAAACAAATATTAATAATCGAAAATCACTTTATTGTTTTTCAAAATATTTCCCATGAAGATCTATACACTTTTGCATGCGTTTGAACCAATTGACAAAGCACTTTTGCCACTCTGATCGAGATATCTCCAAAATATGCATTCTGAATGCAGCAACCGCTTCTTCAGGTGTCGAAAAACGTTGACCCCTGAAATCCCGAAATATAAAAGGCAACCTTCGTGCAATTGTATGCTTCTTTTTTCTTTAATTAGAGTTCAGTTATTAATTAGTAATCATAAATACACCAATGTAATTTTACAAAGTGGTATCGAAAACGATGATAAAAAAATATCAACAATTTTACAAACTTGTCATAACTGATTTTATATATTTGAATGCAATATCCGCCGATCCGGTGGCCGAGATCGCTAAGGCAGTAGTGCCGTAGCGATCTCGTACCGAAAGATCGCGGGTTCGAGTCCCGCCTCGGGCATGGTTGTATTGTGATCGTCCTTTCACCCCCTATCATCATCATCATCATATCAGGGAAGGCAACGGGAAACCACCCTGAATAATTTATCCCAAGAAAACCCGTTATGGGTCACCTAACTTCCGTATATGGAAGATAGGACCAAAGAAGAATGCAATATCCAACACATTCTTCATCAGTGCCACAATACTACCAGAAATAAATCCTGGAGTTAAGATTGAATTTCACCAAGAGCCAAATCTACAATTTAATATTACATTACACTGTAAAATTTTAGTAATTATTCACACTACTTATATAATATAAATAATATAAATTTTATATTCAACACGTCGTTCCTATTCGTGTAATAATTCGCAGGAATGAGGCCATTTTGCCGCCAAATACTACATCACAAATACCAAAAAACGTGTTATTTTATCGAAGAACTGGTAGCAGCCGGTAGTACGATTTGCCAACAGAAACCGTGGCGGCCAGTAGTGCAATGTTTGTCCACTAAGAGTGATAGAATTCTTCACAATATTTCTTTTTTTTTTTTTTTTCTTTCTTTCTTTCTTTTTCTTTCTTTCTTTCTTT